TCTAATGTATTTTTCATTAACCATGAAAGTAAGTAGTTGTTTTTTGGGAGGGGGTGGGGGTGTTAAAAATAACTTCTTTTTTTTTCCTCTCCCTCTCTTTCTCTCATTATTATTGGGTTATTTTTTAGCACCAAGTTAAATGCATGCCAAATACTTTTAAAGAAAATTTATAATCTTTTAATAGAAATACCTACATGGTTTTGGTAGTCATCTGGAGTTCTCTTGGCTGTCAATTTAAAAAAAAAAAAAAAAATGCTTTATCATGTAAACAAGAACTTGTTAGAAAAGAAAATTATCGGAATTGATTTAGCTATCTTTATAAAAAGAAGAGCTGATTCTCTGTCCGTCACTCACTGTGTGTGACTGCATATACATGTGTAATGTTTGTGTTGTGTGTGAATAACTTTCATGTGCTTGTGAAGCACACACACATACAGACACAATTTGACTGAGTTTGAAATAAGATATTAGAGTAATACATTCCCCTCCTACTTGGGCTGGATAACACCTGTGCTGAGCCAGAAAATCATAAAGTTAAAGAATGATGGGGAGGAGAAAGACTTATCAACAACTTCATCACCATCACTCTCTCTGCTTACATGTACAGGGTGGTCTGAAAGTCGTGTCACCTCTAGATAGTATAATTTTCTATTCCAATGCTCTGTGGAGTATTATCAAGGAGTTTCACATGAACGATACCAGAATGCCCATCAGTTGAAGGATACTATTCAGAGAGCCCTTGCAACAATCAACAAAGCACAGCACATATCATACAGGACATGGCGCAGCATCATTTTATGTCACAAAAATGATGGTATTCATACAGATCTTTACTATGTGACAGCATTAATGAAAGTGAATAAATGGCATCCAGTACATGTGCTTTGTATTACTTGTTCTATTCTCTACTTTTTGGTAGGGGGTGACAAGACTTTTGTACCTCCTGTACACATATCTGTGAAATAGAATTAAAAAAATCAAATATTCTTTCTTTCTCTTACTCACAGTGAGAGAGTTTTAATATCTTATCAATAATTATCTCACTTAGCTTCTATTTCATGTCTATCAACATATCGTTCTATTGGTATCTAGTACCTGATAGTATAAAGATGGCCATAAAGTAAATGTCCAGATTATTGCTTATGACAAAGTAAATTGAGATAACACTTTTTAAAAAAAATTAATGGCCATAAAAACTTAATTTAAGTGAAACAAGAGGTAAAAAATGGCACAACTGATTTCTCAGCAAAAAGCCTGAAAAATATGGAAATTGTCATAAATAAAATTCTTTTAAATTTTGTAGAAATATTTTTTATGTCTATCATTGAATTAAAATATAAATACAAACATACATACTCACAGTTTGAATGAAGTTGAAATAGACACCTATCGCAAGTGCTAACCTCTGGGTAACAGGAAAAGATTTCAGCCTTTTTGAAGTTTTAAACTGAATATATTTACTAATAAATGTAGTATTTTAAATGGACAAGTAATTTTGATTTGAAATTGGATCCTCAGCAAAGCACTGGATACCATGGTATTGAACTAGTAACATTAAAATGCTATTTTACTTTTAAAAAAATTACTCATACTATATAAATAATTTACAATTTGAAGTAGTTTTAATGAGTTAAATAACTAATAATTTTCTTACATTGAGTTAGACAAGATCTTTTATCAGTTTTAGAACCCACATACAGAAATGTTCACTAATGCTGAATGTTTATTCAGGCATCTTTTCACATCTAAGACATTCACTTTAATTATCTGATGATATATGCGAGTTTATTGTTGGACCCTTGCAATATAAATTCAGCATTTCTTAAAATGGTGTTGCTTGGTTTTAACCTGATAAATATATTTAAAGAACAAAAACAATAAGCCTTTCAGTTTCTTATAACTAAAAATGAATAGCTGTTTATAGGTGATGCTTTTTAAAAAGTAGCACAATAATGAAAAAATATACTTTTTGTAATTTGAAATTGAAAATAATACATAAATAACTCACTATACGAAAAACCCTCTACTATCAGCATTATATCTTAAAACAATGTTTTCTTTAAAAATGAGATATATATATATATAATGTCTTCGTTTTGTAACTTAATCTTTTGGTAACTGTAAAAATATGGTTTGCTTTTTTATTAGATTTACTGAAATTGGAGATTTGTTAAAAATTCAGAAGAAATTAAGGAAATTAATTTGGAATCCTGTAATATTTTTTGTATGTGTGTATAAGAAAAGTATGTAGTGATCAAACTATGCTTTCAGTGAAATTGTTTATGAATTGATCAACAATTCTTAATGTAGTGCTGAATTTATGAATTCAATCTGAACAATTATGAAAAATTAAAAGTTCCAGGTTATCCAAGCAATGTTGTTAGTGGTTAGTATTCTGGATGCTTATGTGATATACCCAAATTATTTTTTCTCTATCTTCATATAAACAAAATTGATTTCTCATCTTAGAAACATTTATATTTTCTCACCATTTAGTTCTTATGACATTTAATTAATATTAACCTCTTGAAAGGAACAGCAATAATTTAAATTGGTGTTTTTTTTTTTTATTACTTATTAAGAATCAGTTACATCTTTTCATTGTTATATTTTAAATTATATTATCCTGAACTTGTAATTTAAATGTTTGAGACAGGATCATTGAGAAATATAAAAGGGCAAGTACCTTATACTATACAAAAGCTTTCTGGAGACAGACATGCAACATTCAAAAAATTTAAATTACTTAATATATTTCTTTTATCTTTTTTTTTCTTCTTTTTTTTTTTTTTTTTTTACTATTTTTATTATTCTTAAATGTTTCATTTTATCAAATCAATATTAAACAATACCAGCACTTGTAAATGGCTGTTTCCAAGTTTTAAAAACATAAGAGTGAGCACCAGTAAACTATCAGATAAATAAAGAAAGAACACTTATATAATGCCTCCTATTTATTTCCATGGTAATTACAACAGATACAGGGGGCACAACAACACAAACCTATAAAGGAAGCTTCTAGTTATAAAATGCTATTTTCTCATATAGTCACCACCATTGGCTATGCATTTTTGCCAGCAATGAACAATTACTTGCAAGTTGTATTTGTAAATGTGGCTTGTCACTTACTTTACAGTCACCACTGCTGAAATACCCACTAATTTTGCCAACATCCACTATTTGGTCTCCATAAACATTCAGCAAGCATTGATGAATTTTGGTGGGTTCATATTTTTTCTCATAATGATGGACCTCTGCTTTATATGCTCTTTTATGTCAGATGCCATTTTACTAGACTTTTGTTCAGCTGACTGAGAAAAAAAAAATTGATTTATTGTCATGAAGGATCAACTTCTACTGCCATAACACCAGCATAATAAAATTAGAGGCATTACATTTGGATCATTTCAATGTTGATGGTTTTCAACCTTTTTTCTCTGTTAATTTTACATTTAAATAATTTAATAAGTTTATTAGGTTAAAAACTTATTTATCCTCATATTGTCTGGAATCAATAATTAACAATTTATTTATTTAAAGCAAAAGAATATACACTTATAATGAAGAAATAACAGAATAAAATGAGAAAGTGCTTATTTCCATTATTCTTTCTCTTTGTACAGCTTCATTCTTTGATGTCTAATGTACAGTATGCCCAAAGCTTTTACTCAATACTATCCTGTCAAGCAGTAATTTTTATCTATATTTACTTTTGAATATCAGCAAATAGCAAATGTGACACATTCTATTTCTGGACTTATATGTCTAAAATGACAGTTTAATGTTGTTTGTATAAAAACAAAATTTAAATTTTTATTAAGTGGCTGGACAAAGTGTGATAAAAAATATTTTGCCTTATCTATTAAATAGTATGTTTCCATAGAGCAATTAGGCCTGCTATATGATATCCTTTCAGAATGCATCATTGTCTATTTCCACTGCTGTTTTTGAATTAACAATTTTATATATATATATAATATATATATATTCCAATATTCGCTTGAAGATGAAACTGAATTAATGCTTTTAATTTAATTATATAATTAAATTTAAAGTTTTTAGCTTCCATTTTTGAAACATGGTTATTACTGTGTAGTGAAAAAAACATTTTAAATCAGTTAATTTATAATACTTATGCTCTGTAAATTTACATTGAGCACTATTTTATAAAAATAAGATATCAATAAGAACGCCGGATTATATATCTTACTGTTCTTTCTTTTTATTTATCTATATATATATATATATATATATATATATATATATATATGAGTCTGAAAACTAAAGCTTACAGGTTATTTTGCTTTTCATTAGACTGTTTTTAAAATATTTTTTAAAAAATGATGCTGCTAGCACTGGTTTGCTTTAAAAAAATTTAACATATATTGAATTATACAATTACTTTATTATTAAAATAGAAATTTTTCTGCAAATGAATAGAAATATCTGTTCTGGATTTTTAGTGTATTTGTGTCTTATTTATTATAATGAAAATAAATACAATCTAAATAACTTCAAAACACTAAAGGTGCCAATATTTATGAAATAAAAGTATTTTAATCATGATTTTAATTTACATTAAAAATATTGGTTAGAATAATCACATGGTCTATTGTGTATTCCAAAGAATAGAAAGACAAAAATACAACTCTTTTTTTTTTTTTTTTTTTTTACTGCTCCAAACTAATAGTCTTGATATTCATTTCATCCCATTGTTATTTCTCTACAAGCAATGCTTATCTTTTCCATGGTCCAATATTTGCTCTGTTGAATGTTCTAAACAATTGACTATTCATATGCAACTCTATAATTTCCTAGGATTTTTTATTTTTTTTATTTTTATTTTTAACCAACTTCACTTTTATTTTCCTCTGGTGTATTTTCTTTTTTTTTTTTTTTTTTTTTTTTTTTTTTTTTTTTTTTTTTTTAAAATTTGTTTCCCATATTTTTCTGATTGATGTGATTTTTGAAAGGCAAGAACTGGCTTTTTCCTACCACAGCATTCCAACCAGAGGACCAACAAAATGGCCGCAACAGGAATCCTCTGCTTCTGCTGAGGTTGGAACAGATGAACCAAGAATTGATGATGCAGTCACCGTTCTGGATTTTTACAATTCAGATTTAAATTTAGTAATTGACCCTGATTGGTAAGGATCCGAGCTTCCTACTGTTCTTCTTCAGTTGCTGTTTCAATATTCTAGACTCTGAGAACAATTGGGTAGATAGATTGACTAGAAATAACTGGAAAAAAAATATTGTTTACTTTTTCATTTTAAAATTTGTGGGTGGTGGTGGTTGTAATTTTTATTTGTTTCTTATTAAAAATCATATAAGAACATTTGGGCTAAAACTATGCTTAATAGATTTAATATTTCAGGTTATCTTTGGAAATACTGCTGATTTTTTTTTAATCAGTCACAATTATCATTTCTCTTGATTAAGATTATCTCTTAATATTTCAAACAAATGACAATTTTTTTATTTGAATTTCACATCTGCCACCATCCATATTTCTTTTATTTGTTATTTTAGAAGTTGGGAGGCATTACAAAAAGTGGGTAGTTGATGACTTGATAGACATTTTTAATGATGCTAATAGAAAACTATTTGGAAACAAAAAAAGATTCATTTGGACATATGGTGATTCTAATCATCCAGTCACAGGACCTAAGTAAGTTTCTATATTAGAATGGTTAAAGTATTAAACTGAACATTTGGGTGTTTGAAAGGTGACCCTCTTCTGCCCACCAGCCTTTATGATAGCTTATATTTGATATTTAAAACATTGGGACAAAAATGTTATAAGAACTGAACCAGTATCATCAATATGAATATTGAGCCATAAAGAAAAAAAGTGGAGGATCTTGTGAATTTTGCTTAACTGCACCTGTTGATAAAATCTTCAACTGAATGTAATGAATTTAAGTGCTGCTTTGATGTAATAGTTGTAATAATTGAGAAATTCTATTTCACTTATAGTGTAGAAATAGGAATTAGGTTTCTTTCATCATTCTAAAAATTTTTTTTTTTTTTTTTTTTCAACACTAGTGACTTCTCACAAACTTTTTATCTAACTGAAAGTTAGGATTTGCAGTTATCTGAACATTCTAAATTATTTCAACTATTTGATTTGCCAATGAAAAATTTTGTTATACTTTTGTTTTGTATGGAACATGTTGGGAAATTTGGTGATTTTTTTAGTCATTTTTAAAATATCCTTTTGATATACAAACTAAAATTAACTGGAATTTTTCAATCAAAATTTGCAATATGGGGTTTGGTTTTTGTATGATTAAATCCTATAATGTTAATTTTAGTTGTGGTCTATCATGTAATTATCTAGCCAATGCTGTTATGGCAAGAAAAAATGTTTTATCCAGATTGTTATATTAAGAGTATTAGAAAAGGTCTCAGGCCAACCCACTTACCAAAACCTGATTAAATGACTAAACATTCAGAATTTTTGTGGGGAGAGCATATTGGTTGGGCTGGGAACACTTAAGCACTCCCTCGTATTTGAAGTTGGTTCATTTTGTGAAGTGAAAAATTACTAGAGGGGAGAGAAGACCAATAAATAATTTGAGAATTTGCTTATTCATCTTATCAAGTCATACATCTGTAATTCCAGACAATAATAATAATCAAATGGATAATAATGCAAACAATGTTTTGAATTGACTTAGAAAATGAGTTTTCTCTAAACATTAGTTATAAAATTAGAGATGTTTGACAATATTTGTAGTTTTTTATCCACTTTTCCACAGATCAGTAATTTTATAATTGGTTTTACTTCTCTTTTTATAAGGACTTACAGTAAAAAAAAAAAAAAAAATTGATCACTAAAATCAAGTGATAGTTTACCTTGTTAGAATTGGAGGTACTTTATGGAAAAAGAAACTGATGTTAAGCCTTGACAAAGTTATGAATAATGTTCTCGGATTTCATTCATAATTAATTGATATTGTTTTATTGTTTTATATAACAAATTTAATCTTATTTAAATATTAATTTCTCTTTTGTTTTTATTTTTATTTATTTATTTATTTTTTGTAAAGCAAAAGCCCTTTTTCATAATTTTGTGTGTTGATACTTAAGGAATTTACTTTAACAGCATTTTTAATTCCCCTTTAAAAATCGCAACTTACCTAAATAGGTATTTTTCATCGTTTGTCATGCCTTCCCAACAAAATACCAATCTGAAGATTAAAAATTATTTTGCTCAAATGTTTCTAAAAAGATTTTGGTTTAAAATACACTAAATTTTTGCATTCTTTTTAGAATAAATTTCCATCATTTATTAACAATTTCTTTTCAGTGATGTTTTATATTAATTTCTAATTTGGTGTGTTCTTAGCCAATTATTATAATTATTATTGGAATGAATTAGAGTTTAAATTAGTGAAGAAATTGAGAGTATTTTGAGGTTATGAATGCAAGTACAGTCTTTATTATGAACATGCACATGTTTACTTTAATTTTTTCTTTTTTTTTTTTTTTTTTTTTTTTTACCATCATATTTTTTGTTGGCAGTACTAATGTTATAATTATTTTCCTTATAATCAGTCCATTTGGAAAATAAATATTAAGTTTCATTTTTATAAAAAGATTTCTTCTAAATATTTAACCAGTATAAAATACTTGCAACTCATTCAAGCATTTAAAAGAAAAAAAAATGAAAAAAGTGTGTTATGAAATTTGTTTGAAGGATGAATTTTTCCATTTTAAATAGAATGTATTTGACAGGACAGAATAATGATTGCATATAATGTTCAATTAAAAATTCTGGTATTTTTATGGTAAAATTTTAAAGTTATGGTTAATATAGTTGATCTTGTTCTAGTGTGTGGATCTCATTGAAAAAGTAAGAATTTTGTTTATCTATCCAGAAGTAGTGAGATAACCAAATTTCTAATAAGAATGTCTTTGGTTTAATCTTTAAGATTTAAACCATCAAAATAAAGAATTAAAATAAAAGTTAAAAATACTCAGTATTAACAGAAAGCAGAATTTCAAAATTTTACCTGTAATCATATTAGATGAAAACTTATCTTTGAGAGAAAATAATTCATAATTTTGGGAATTTAAAAAAATATTTTGATTTTATTTTATATTTCTTGGGACTCCTTTTAATTTTCTTTAATGAGAAACATTTCTGAAAATTATGATAATGAAATAAAGAAAATAAAATTAAATAAGAGATGCTTTAACATTTTTGAAAACATAGCTACAACAAAGACCTTCAATATTTTGTGATAATTCTTGAACATTTCAGTTTCTGTTCAAATCAAGAATTTCATTTTTTTCTGTTCTAAAACATCCATAAGCTGATGAATTTTACACTAAAAGATGTTCAGTTATTCTATCTAAAGCAGTACTATTATTTTGTCTGTAACTTCAGACAATATTAAAGACCCCCTGAATATCTAAACTTTATTTCATATCACATAACAGTGGTATTATTTTCTTTTTTAATTGTAAATATTTTTAAAATGCTGTCTGTTTGTGTGAACTCCTTAACACTATCATTACCTTGTTATAGGCAACATATTTATTACCATTTGGATTTGTATTGCTATGTGTATATTTTATCCAGCTATGGAGGAAAGAATTTGACTGAGCCAGAAGGGTTCTGTTTCACGTGGGCTGGAGCCAGGGCCACCTATGGCGTAACCAGAGGAAAGGTATTCACAAATGTCACCATCACAAATTTTCTTTTTCAGATACTGTCTCTTTATTTTAATAACATTTTTCCCCTACTTTTAAAAATTTTACTCATGAATTCAATTTCTTTTTCACATATAAAAATATCTAACCAATCATTTGAAGATGATGCGACACCACTGAAGGATGTTTCTATACTTAATAATGCTATTTGGTGTTTATGTCCATAGTGTAGGTAAAAAATCAATTCAACATTGGAATATCTCTAATGAACTGAAAATGTTAGTTAATTTCACAGAATTAATGTTGCAGTCAAGGATTCAAATCAGTTGATGTCTTAATGAATTTTTCATATTATTATAAATAGAATTGTTAGAATTACAGAAGTCAAAAATTGTGGGAAAAAAAATTTGAACTGAGAAATGGATAAAACACATTTTTATGAGCAGTTATTCAACAACACTAAAATTAAAAAAAGAAACAAAAAATTGGCAAATTTACATTTCTATCTTAACAATCAATTCCATTTTATGATTATATTTGATTTAATCGCCTAATTTCTTTTGTACGTTAATTTTGGTGTAATGATTTAGCCAGAACAAATATGTCAAATCAGCAGTATTGTGATATTTTTTTTTCCAGAACATAAATTGGTTCTGTGTGAGACAAATTTAAAAAAAAAAAACAAAACAAAAAAAAAACTTGTCCAGCAAGACAGGAATTTACAGGATAAGATATATATTTTTTCAGAGTAAGAAGAATTTGGATTTATAACAAAAAATAAATCTATTTTTTTTATTAATGCTACTTTGGGTACAAAAAATTAGTTATGATAGTGTTTCTGTAGATGTAAAAATTTTGCTTCACAACTTTTTGTTGTCGTCACCTGACACTAAACTTTTGAAATAAAGTAACAAGGTAATATATTTTTTATTTATTTATGTCTTTAGTTACCTCAACCCATTAGTACAGTAGTTGAGGTGTGTGATACTATTTTTGTGCATATTTAATAATTTTTGGAGAGTTCACTTTCCCATTTGCATGGATTGCTTTTCATAGTTAAAAACCTCACTTTAATGTGCCTTTTTCTTTTTTACTTACTCATTGGATCACTTAGCAGATTATGAAAATTTGAAGTCTTCAGTTATTATCTAGCTATTATTTACTTCAAGCATTTCACAAAATCCTGTACTAATTTAAGTAAAGATTACATCTGAAATAGATTTTTATTGTTAATAAACAACAATAGAATTATAAGTATTTTTAAACTAAAATATAGATTACATTTATTTCTATAAAAGTTCTATTTTGGTAGCAAAATTATTGCTTTCATATAACATCAACATTTATTCATCTTGAGGTTATGCATATGGCTTTGAATTGTGTAAATTATATGTAAAACTTATTCACTACCAATTCTGTCTTTTTTAATTCTTACTCTTTCAACTTAAAAACAAGTTCATTTTTGTGAATCTGAAAGTGTATATTTGGTGTTTCTTTGTCTTCACATTCAATACCAAAGAGAGTCAAGTTCTACTTTGGCTCTGTACAGGGTTTTGAAAGCCTATTAAAATTTGTTTGCCTGCATCATAATTTGGTATCCTCATTACTGAAAATAGTCTCAAAGACATAGGTCATTTCTTTTAAAGTGTTTATATTTTTCTCATGATTTCCTTTGTGCGTGTATGTGTGTGTTTTCATTTAGATTTTTTTCTCTTCAGAATCTTTCTAAGGTTATCTAATACCAACATTTTCCTCCTCTTATAATTAAAAAAAAAAATGCCATATTTTCCATATGGCGTATAAAGATAATGTTTCAATTCAACTATTCCAAACCAATAAACGAAGAAATATTCTGATATGGCTGTCCATATTTTGTTACAGAATCAAGAATAAAAAGACATCACTTTCTGATATTAATATCTTTATTTTTTTTCTCCTTAAATTTAAGCATTTTTCTGTGCTTTGCCTAAATATTTTTACTTCCTACACTGTAAAAAAAACAAAAAAAAACTAAGCTACACATCATGATACATTGAGCAAGAAACCGTGCACTCAAGAGCTATTCTATTTCAGCATTTTCCTCTCTTTGATATCAGTTGGCCAGAATAGACCCTTATTGTTATTTGAGGATTATTACTCTCACTCTCTCTCATTGGCTTTGTTCAGTCAGTAGAGTCAGTAATCATCAAGAATATAATGTTTTCATTTCTTTTTTTCTTTTTTTTTAATTTGCTTTTTGTTTAAACTATGGGAGTACTAATTGCTTGTTTTCAACTCTACATGGCCATTCTGTTTATAATAACCTCAGTATTTAAGCAAAACTTTAAAAAAAAATTTCTTTTACAAAAGTTGAAAAAAAAAAAAAAAACGCATTCTTTAAAAAAAGATGACTTTCAAAGTTCTGTGTTGACAATAAACAATCTCTATCCAACTCTTCAGATTGAACATTTTCAGTTGATTCATTAAGTGTGTATGCATGAATGCAAATTATACATCCTAGAAAGGATGGTGTTGTCAATCCTTTAATAGCATTAATGAGTTGTAGTAGCAGTTTATTATTCTCATCTTGTGTGCTGTTATTCCAACTCTTTTTCACTGCCCATTCATTATTTGCATGAATTCATCATCTGTGCTCTACCAAAACTTGTATATCATTTTCCAATGTGAGATAACCATTTCCAATCTTGATTTGATTTCTCACTGCATGTCTCATCCAACCTGTGCATGTTGCTCTATTTATTCAAAAATGTTGCCACTGGTATTTAAAACTCATTGAAAATTGAGGTCACCTTTTATGCTGGCCAGTTTTAGTTAAACAAGATTTTTTTTTTTTGTTCAATTATAATCTCAAACTACATTATAGAACATCTCTTTCTCTCTTCTTTTTTTTCTTTAATTTTTATTCTTCTAATCTATAAACCTGCTACAAAAAGATTCACTTAAATCTGTCCCCACTTGACTAGCTACAACTGGATTCCTACTTTTTGCACTCATTGTTGCATTACTAATGAGTTTCTCATCTACACAGAACAAGATGCAAAGAAGGCATAAATTGTATTCCGTTTTTCGTTTTTTTTTTTTTTTTTTTTTTTTTTTTTTTTTTTTTTTTTCGATCAAAAAAAAATTTATATTTAGATTTGACTATGACAGGTCTGCTCATGATAGCTAATTTAGAATTTTTAACATTTGCTGTGTACTTATAAGAGTTCACAAATTTGATTCATAAATGGAATGTTGATGCACTGTGAGATTACATTATTATATCTTTTTATTGAGATTCTAAAATGATTTTTCTCCTGCAACTACCATCTTTTTTTATTTTTCACTAGTACTTGTATGTATTAATCACTTTTTTTCTATTGGGTTCAATAGATTTTACAATGAAATTTTTTATTTTGGATTTTCAGTTTTAATATATTTACTCTGGGTTGGGAGTATAAAGTGATTTTTTTTTTTCCTGCAGTTTGAAATCGATATTTATTTCATGTTCATTCACATACAACTACTATATCCAATGTTTTTAGAAAGAAATATTTGAATTTATTGTCAAGTGGTTTAATATTTCTTTCCAAAGCATTTTTATTTTGATAAAGAATACATTGCCTCATTAAATATAGAGGCTAGTAAATCATAAATATATGCAGATTTATCTATCAAAATATTTGTTTTATTCAACATTTTGATATATTTTTTTTTCTTTCTTTTTTTTCTTCTTGGATTTGTTCATTAAAAACCTTCTCAACTCTGTTGTGTGCATATTCAGATAATAAGCAGATTATTTAAAAAATTAATATTGTAATATTTTTTTTTTTTTTTTTTTTCTAAAAAACTTTGTTCAACTTATAGATATATGCACATATATATTTGAAAAGTACACAATTTTGGCAGTTTTTTTTTTTTTTTTTTTTTTTGCATTGGATGAAATTGGAAAAGTGATAAAACATAATCAAGGATTTACACAAATTACAAATATAAACATGAACCAGAAAATTATTGATATTTCATTCCTTTGACAAAAAAAAAACAAAATTACAGGCATTGTTTTGTTCTATTGGGTATTTAACATTTTAAGCTTTTATGTACAAAAGAATATTTACAATAATTGTTAAAAATATTAAATAACTATTTAATTAAGTCTTTAATTTTAAATATTTTAATAGAATATCTATTGTATAGAAAATATTTTTCTTAATTTCATTTGGAGCAAGTGTTTTATCATTTGAGGTTAAAATCTGCAATTTATAATTATTTTTCCACCACCTCACTCAAATCATTTTCATCATTAAATACTTGATATCTTATGTAAAATGAAAGAAAACACCAGATTTTGCAAACAAATTATCAGCTGCGATAGACTAGAATCGTGTATAACTCATTTTTCATTAGCTTACTAGAGTATTTGTCTAATATACTCTTGCTTGGGTGAAAAATACTGAACACTTTTCATTGGTAGGGGACCACTAATAGTGGTCTTTTATTGGAGAGCTTTAATTCAGTTTTAGTCAATTTATGATTACAGTAAAATTCTGTAACTCTTCTACTTCACAACTAAATGACCAAATGCTCTTCTTTAAGTATTTAATTATGTAATAATTGCAACTAAACTGTTTCCATTGAGCTGTCGTTTGTGACTTGTCTATTTTGGTTGTGCTTCAATTCTTCTCCCTTTCCAGCTTATTTTCTTATTGGCTTACTTTAGGAGATTAGATATTTTGCTGCCTTTGAGACGGTCTAACCCACTGCAGGTATTGACATTTTAAATGAACAAACTTTATCACATACACTTTATTTGACCATCTATAACACTGAGAAAAATATCAGTTTGAAAATAAGTTATTTGAAAAACAAAGCATCTGGTGTATTGGTTGGTAACATTTTAATTGCATCCCTATTTTCTTTTCTTTTTATTAAAAAAAATCCCTATTAAAAATATCTTGAGCATATATATCTACAATTCACCTGTTTGATATGAGTTAAACAACATTCTTTTATACAATTTCTACCAGTTTTCTGATCTCAGAAGTTAAAACTTTGAATGATAATTTAAATATTGTAAGTGTTCTCTACTAAGTAGGTGATAGTATAAATCTAAAATTATTTTCTTTTTTTGAAAATATAAGTTAAAAATAGAGATTTTTTTCATTATTGTAACATTGCAGAATTGAGTTACTTATGAAAAAATGCATTCATGTTAGACTAAAAATCTTTTGTACAAATGTACTACCCTTCTCACTTCATTTTCAGTGGCTGTATTCTTCCTTGGTGTCAACTCACATATCTCTTTATCTCATTAATTTTATTTTTCATAGATGTAAAGATATTTCTTGCTTGCTGTTGAAGCAAAAGGAAACAGACACTTAGTCATAGCATGATTAATATTGACTATGAAAAATAAAATTAACTATGTGACTGAAATATATAAAAAGATATAAGAAATAAGCATTATGAAGTTCTCTTTATCTATGACATAATGTTTGTAGTTGCAATAGTTTATAGAGAAGAGTTGATTTACTGATATCTATGGGCCTAAGATCACTTGAGATAGGCTTCTATTTAAATTAGCATATTGACCCAGAAAGCAGAAATTCCTTTCTTGAATTCGAACAGCTATTTTACTGTCTTATAAAAGCAGCATTTATGCTGATGCCTCTTTTCAAAGAAAAGAAAATTAAAGTATAAATATATAAAAATAAATCTTTGTTATTCAGAGTGCAATATATTCCGATGACATTGCAATGATGCATTTGATACTCTGTTATAAACATTAAGATTTATATTTTTAAAAGAAAATTTTTTGCATTATTATTATTTATTTATTTTATTTTTTAAATCAATTGTGATTTTTTAAAAACTTAAATTTTTCTTAATTTGCTGAATAATTTTATCAATGACATAAGACTGATACTTGATCTCATGGATAGTATCACATGATTGATATGCAGCATTCCTGTATCTTGTTTTCCTTTTCACATCAGTTTATAAATTCAGTTTTTGAACTGACAAAGTGAAAGTGTCTGATGTCACTTTTGCTTTTATATACCATTAATTCAAAATAATTTATTGCTTATCCAAACATATTAGTTTCATAATCAGAAAAAAATTAACATTTTTGCTGTTGAGAACTTACTTTTCATGAATATTTTTTTTCACAACCCTTTAAAAAAAAAAATAATAATATTGCTATCTGATGTGAAGGTAAATTCTATATTGTAGATTATAGCTGATTAAAATTATTACTGAAATATAATTTTAATGTTTTCCAGGTCTTCTATGAAGTGCACATAATTGAACACCTCCCTGTTAATTTTGGTGATGATCACACAGAAACACATCCTCATGTAGTGAGAATTGGCTGGTCTATAGACAAGTCTTCATTTCAGTTAGGTAAGTAATTTTAGTTTTCATTTATAAGCAGAAGCAATGTGCCCTTATGTCATTGCATAGTTTATACTTGTATTACTTTACAGGAAAAATAGATTAAGTTGCATAGCTATAGATAAATGTACAGTGGAGAGTTTTTGCTTTAATTATTTCTGATAATGGATGATGCCAAGTGCTTTCTATCCCCCCCCCAAAAAAAAATCTTTACAGTACTTGCTATACAGATTATTTAGGTCTTGATATCTTTATATGTTCTAGAATTTACAAAATATATACAACAACAATTGAATTGAAATAAAATTGCATTTACTTACGAAGTATTTAATATATATACGAGATAGATATATATATCAAGGACAATATTGGGAAAACCACTTTGTCATACTTTTTTTTTTTTTCACACATATATATATATATATATTTTCTGTTAATGACAGCTCTTAATGTTCAACTATTAAGTACTATAATTATTACTAACATTGAGGATTAGTTTTAACAACTACATTTATAAGCCTAAAGCTAATTAGTGATACATAATTTTTGTTTGTGAAAAACAGTTTTACAAGTTTTTACAGTTTTAGAAGTGTTGATTTTATATATAAGAAAGTCAAAAGTTCTGACATGGATGTTTATTTGACGCTTTATCATTTTATTTATTTATTTTACTAGGAGAGGAACCAAATTCATATGGTTTTGGAGGCACTGGGAAATTCTCTGTAAACAGTAAGTTTACCAACTATGGAGAGCCATTTGGTGCTGGTGATGTCATTGGGTGTCTCTTGGATTTGGAATCAAGGCCACCTACTATCTCCTATTCAAAGAATGGTCGTTGGTATGGTGTTGCTTGTCCATTGCATACTCATCCTGTGGGTAAAGAAGACCTGGCCTTATTCCCACATGTTCTTTCAAAGAATTGCAAGTAAGTAGGGTTGTATTTTGATGACTTCAATTTTTTATAACTTTTTTTTCATTCTCTTTGATGCAAAGTAATAACCTATTGCTATCTATGAAAGGGTAAAACCAAATATTTAAAAAGAAGCTATCATTTGATTTAATTAAAAGTATAAAAAATGATTGATACTTTTGTCTATTTTCCATCAATTTATTATATAAATATATATTAGAATAGCTAAATATTGTAGGAAATAAATTCTGAAACCACTAAGAAACAGTCTTAGTATCACTGTAATAGAAATTAGATTAAAATTAATTTTCAATTTATGAATATTCTGATTCTCTAAACAAAATTAGGAATCCACTGATTAAACAAATAAAATTATGAATTTTCTGAAACCTAAATATGAAATGATTGAAACCACTTTTTGCATCCACTTTGTTTTTGATATTTAACCTATTCTGCAATATCTGGTATAAATCACATTTTATAAAGGTTTAAATAATGCCATGATCATGAATCAAATTTTAATTATCTCATTTTTAGAGACTTGTTGATTGAATAAATTAATATTAGAAAAGTTATTTTAAGTTAATTTAATGCTCCACATCTTTTTGTATCTGTTGTATGCATGTATTCATATTTGAATCTCTTTAGTTCTTATAATAATATTCAAGCAGAAGTAAATTTTGATAAAGATTAAATTTCAGTGGCAACTCTAGGTCATCAATATTATTCAGGTTCATCACAATTTTAACAAAACTTATATAGATACATTAGGTTATAAGGATAATTTTAACATCCAATTAAAATCTTTCAAATATTCTAAATACAATATTTTTTTTTTAAGGAGCCAGGATCTATAGATATTATTGATAAGAAAATTTCAAAATTTTGAAGTTTTACAAAGTGTATGTGTTGGTGGGGGGGGGGTCACTTTACAGTATATGCTTATACTAAAATATACCCCAAAGCAGATTTATTTGAGCCTGATTTTCCTCATAATATTATAATGAACATAACAATATAATTAAAGTCAAGATTTAAAGCTATGAACTTGAAATAAACTCTTTGAAAAACAAGGAATTAGAAATTTGAGATTTTTAAAGATTGTTTTTAATAGTTCAGCTACAACAAATCTGTTTGTGTCATGTTAGAATTTCATTTGCTTTGTTATACTAAAACTTTTCAGCTGCAAATCACATAACTAAATTGCTAATGATTCTTAATTATTTTTTTTCAGGCAACATTCTGCTGAATACTATCAGCAAAATTTATTTAAGTCAAGATTTTAAAATAGGAAGTTAAAACCAAGCTGTAAAAAATAATGAATTAGAACAATTTGAGATTTTCTTCTTGGTTTGAGTCCATCCAAAGTCAAGGATGAATGTGTTCAGAGATATTTTTATTGCTTGGAATAAAATCTGCTTATAAAATTGATCATTGGGCTCCTTGGACTAAGCCCAAGTAGCCCAAACCCTGGTGTTGCCACTGTTAGTCTAGTTTTTAAGAAAACAACATATCTAATACTGATGTTCAGAATTTGTTAAATGCATTGTTTATTTGGTGATGATTGTTTTTTTACATATGATTTTAGTATCAGGGCAATCATTAAATGAATACTATGTGATTCCATTTTAAATTTATTTCATTCATGTTATTAGTAAGTGAAAAAATGATGAGGTGTGTATTTAATGTCATATGTTTGTCCTTTAGGTTCAAGGTGAATTTTGGCCAGACTACTCCCTGGTTTCCTCCCCCTCCAGGCTTTGCTTATATTGACCACGTTCTGCTGAATGATAGAGTCCGTGCTTCCAAATGTCCTCCAATGAAATCAGACTGTGAGGTTTGTGCCAAGAATTTTTTTTTTAAAAAAGTGAATCTTTGTTTTACATGATTGATTGGTATATTTTTTCTTTTTAATTGTTAATAAATATTTTCTGGTTGCAAAAATTACTATTGTAAACTGCTAACATAAGTAACAGTATAACTAGTATTTATTTTGTGATTGGATCTCTTGCTTCATTAGATTGTCATTCAATAACATCTGTCACCATGTGCAATTCTAGAACATCACAACAGTAGCTTTACAAGAAGCTGCACAAAATATATATTAAATAGAAATACTTCCCTATCTGTTACAATTGCATTTTATCTCCATTTGAATATTTTTGTAAAAATGTTTTATTTTTATAGATGATAATGATAGTTGGATTACCTGGATGTGGCAAAACTTCATGGGCCCTGAACATGTACAAAACCCAGGCTGATAAAAAGTACTATATTATTGGAACTGACTCGCTCATTGATAAAATGAGAGTGATGGGTTTGCCAAGAAAAAGGTTTTTCCATGGCCGATGGGATGTGCTGATTCAGAAAGCAACTGGTTGTCTGAACAAACTCTTCCAAATTGGTGAGTTGGTTTGTTTCTTAAAATGGGAATTCTTTTTTTCTTTTCTTTTTTTCTTTGGGATGTGTGGCTGGTGTAATGGATAACAGCTTGGAATGAAAAATCAGAGCCAAGTTTGAATTTCAGTTGTGTTCATTATATTCACTTATGTGCAAATACTCTTGGGAAAAGTTATGAATCCATCTCTTCTCTAAGCTCTAAGATTAAACGGTGAGAAAACACGGAAAATAATTAAGCATTGTGGAAATAATGAAAGAAAGAAAAGATTAAAAATAGTAATATTAGAAACCATAAATCATGATCTCCAAAAAATTTTTACAATCTCAAAATGCTTTGGTTTTAAATAACCTCAAAAATGTTAAGCCATAAAAAATAAATTAATAAAACTAAAAATTACTTTGCCCAACTTCCATATATCTGTTTGTGATGTTTATTTAAAGGGAGTAGTTGTTTTTTTTTTTTTTTTTTTTCTTAATATCCTATTTCTTTTTCTCTTTGTTTTGTTTTGCAATGCCAACTGCTTCAAAAATTTTGCTGATCAATTCACTTTTCTTATTAACTTTCATTTTCACACATCTATTTTTTGATATTTATAAAAACCTGTTTTTTCTAGTTCTTATCTTGCCAATGTTTTCAGTTTCTTTTTCACATGGTATATTTATCATAAATACAAAGGTATCCTAAAAGAATTCCCCACCATCTGTTGGTTAATACTAATTTTATGAAAACATTGACTTTTATAATAAAATATATGGTGTGTGTGTGTATATTAGAACTTCAGTCAACTAACTTTTCTGTTATGGCTATTCAAATGACTAAAAGTCAGAATCTGGCTATCTTAAACATTATTTCTATCATTAACATCTCTGGCTTATTCTTATATTTAAGGAAATTTTTCATTAAATTTTCATTTATCTTATTCATTTCACTCTTGATCAGGAAATGTATATTTGTCCAATTATAGCTCAGAAGTATGTAAATGTATCAAATTATCACAATGAAACTTAAAAAATGTTAGTTTAATTTTTTGATAGAAACTAAAAAAAGAGTTTCTAATTGTTTACCTCTTCAGTATTGGCTCTTGTAAAGGATTAGCTGGTATTTAAGATCTATACCTGTGCAGATGTTTTGAAATGATTATTATTCCAATATTTCTTTCAAAATGTTTTAATGTAAAAAAAATCTTTCAAGAGATTTTATTATTTTATTTTATTGTAGCTTCCAGGAGACGACGCAATATAATTCTTGATCAGACAAATGTTTATGCCACTGCCCGCAAGCGTAAGATGCGGAACTTCCAGGGATTTTATCGAAAATCAGCTGTTCTTGTGTGTGAAGATTCTGAATTGATTAGACGATCAAACAAAAGAACCAAGGAAGATGGTATTTTTTTTTTGTTGTTTTAGAATTTATTTTCTACTATAAGAATTTGGAAAAATGTTTGCACTATTTCATGCTTTAATATTAATGCAGTTCTTAAAATTTTGAATTACTTGAAATATAGTTTTAAAAAGTGATTACATTGGAAAATATAATTCTAATAATATTCAAAATATTAACTTATGAAAATTCAATGTTCTAATCATTGTAGTAGTTAATCTCTTTAAATCATTGAAATGTTTTAAAAAAAGTATTTTAAAATTTACAAAATCTAGCTATTTGATGATTCTGAGTTTGTTTAAATAATAGATTCTTGTATAGATTCTTTTCCAGACTAAGTAATACCACTGTGTTTAAATCTTTATAATTTCTAATTACTAAATATAACTTCTACAAGACTAGATAATCTGACTCATAATCTCTATTTTATGTTATTGTTTCTCTCTGCTTTTGTTTTGTTCTAAATATGTTGTCATTTAATGAAATGGTAATTATTGGTGTTTATTCCAGATTTTGGTTAATAAAAATAACTGGTCATTTGTTTTTATTTAAAAAAAGAAATCCTCTAAATATACTTTAATAATCAACTAGCCATTTTTTAAATTTTTATATTGCTTTAAATAGAATCCCAAATGTATTCTATGGGATTAAAAAATTTATTAAAATGTTGAATTTTACATTAGAAAAACATGATTATTTAGGTTGAATTAATGTTCATAATATTTTTGATCTTCCAAAATACACATGAAATATGAATAACTAAAGTAAAAGGATTCTTGTCCAAGAATAAATTATTTTGACTATTTTTACTTGTATTATTGACAATGTTCTAAACTGTAATTGTATTCTGCAGGTAAAGTTGTACCAGAGGAAGCTGTCCTTGAAATGAAGGCCAACTTCTCATTGCCTGATGAAAGCAGCAAATTATTTGATTCTATAGAATACATTGAGTTGCCTAAAGAAAAGGCTTTGAAACTTGTGGAGCAGTAAGTAGTCAACACATTACCCTGTCCACATGGCTGTTACTATTATTTGTAATAATTAGCTTCTTTTTTCTTTCTTTTTCATTTTTTTTTTTTTTTTTTTTTTTTTTCTTCTTTTGTCTTTTTTCCCCACCCACTCCACTAAATATCTGAATGTTAGGAGAGCAAGTTTTCCGTTCACTTTTCTTTTTCTTGACTGATTTTAAAAAATGCTAAATTTATTCTTTTATCAAAACAGATAAATTGCACAAATTTCCATCTGCCCACTAGAGGAGCTTCTCTTGCATTGCCTTAGCATTACAAGTGCTTTTTGTTTTGATATGGTGCTGCTTGGCATCTTTAATTTCTTTTACTTTGTTTTTTTATTTTATTTCCCAGAAGCACTTCCTGAACACCCTTCTATCTACAGAAAAAGCATACTGGCTACCATGACAACAACCCTTGTTGCTATACAAGCTTATTGTATTTACTGGAGATTTTCATTTCTGAATTGCATCCTGCCACTTTGACCTGTGTTAGACCATTGACTATACCACTTTTGTTTCTACCTTCCAGATGTGTCTCTGCAATTATTTTATTATCATCGCCATACTAAACTGTATCTTCTCATGAGCATCCATTAACTTTTGTATTCATTTGTTTTAGATACAATGAAGAAGGCAAGAACAAACGTCCTGCTCGGGATAAGGTATTTAAACATGATAATCGACCAGAACAGGTGAGTTTTAACAAGCCATTATGACATGGTTTATTTTTATTTAAATTAAAATTCTAATATACTTTTATTCTTGGTGCATGACTTATTGCTGATATGGAGTTATTGTACTCTAGTCATTTTATGATAAATTTTATTTTATTTTTATCCAAGTTTTCACTACAATTTATGCCATATAAGAAATATTACAAGTTAGATGGATTTTAGTTTTAAACTTTCTGTCTACATCTATAAGTGTTCTGCACTAAAAATGTTGTGCTTGATAGTCGTTTAAGCTTTAAAATTCACCTTGTATTCTTAATATTTTTGAGTAACATTAAACAAAAATATAGTTTTCTAACTAATCATAAATTAAAGATATTATTAACACTGATATATAATTTTACCTGTTTAGACTCATAAATATTCATTGTGGGACAGTGATCAAGCTCTGTATTTTATCTTAGAATTGGAACAGAGCATTGCTAACCCATTATAATATTAACCAAAAATTATTTGCATTTATATTTTTATTAGTTCAAAACCCTCTGAATTTTTCTAGAGGAAATTAATAATTAGCGAGGGGACCATCCAAAAATAAGACCTATTCAATTTAAGATTGGTATAAATATTTAATATATGTAAGAAGTCCCATTTATAGGGCATTGGTGGGATATGCTCATCTTAAGATAACACTCTTTTTATTAGAGCCTTTATTGCAACAAATAATTGAAATGCTTCTTTTTCATTCTCAAAGAAAAAAAAACAAAATCTTTATAAATAAGTGAAAAATAAAAAAAAATCTGTATGAAACAAACAACAATCAGATTGTCACAGATTCATTTTGTTTTCATTTTTCATTTTACATTTTGCACAATGACATTGTTTTCTTTTGTCAAACTGCATTGTGTTATTGATGTGATCTTCAATGCTGTCTTTGGGGTCCAGAACATTGCAGCTCAGAAGACAGTTTTAAAAGTTATCCAAAAACTATTTTCCTTTTAAAAATCAAATGATTTCTTTCTAAATATCAGTCCTGTAAAGAAATGCTTGTTTGTCCTGCAAACCAATTCCTCCCATTTCTGTTTATTCTGATACACATTTAAGTAGACTTTAGAATTGTAACATTTTTTACTTTTTGGAAGTAACATTTGATTGACACTTACCATAGCTGTAATTTGTTGCTCTAGAAACAGGTTTGTGTTCATTCTACTTTGTTATAAGAATTTCATTAGCTGTGTTGAACTTGTAATCAATGAATCCTGTCAATGTCATCTTCATCTACTTTAACTGCAGTATGGGGCATTGCAGAATAGAGTTGGCCTTTATTTTTCTGTGAAGTTGTCAAAAAACACTTCATGCTTATTTTCTTTGGATATGCTTCAGTCAATTTGCTTATGGCCCTCATTCCCAAAGAATCTTTATTCTGAGGTAAGGGTCAAAATTAGATAATTTCAAAGCTGCACAAACTTTGATTGGTTTGCCTCATATCAGCATTTTTGTTGGGTGCATTTCATAATACTTGACGACCATACAGATGGCTTCAAACAACCAATAAAGACAACTGTTACTCACTCTGAAGCTTGTCTCAATTTGAGATCTTGATTTCAATCCCTGAGTTGCAGAAAGCAGCGTGGCAACATAAGATCTATAAATAAATAAATATCTTTTTATAATTATTTCTGAAAGATTCAGATGAGTTTTTGTGTAACGTAACTAAATATAAGAATAATATAGCTTTGATTATAGAGTAAAAAAGAAATATTTTATATATTTAAGTAATAGAAACAAATGTTATTTACAAATGAAAAGGTTCCAGTTTATATATCTATATTTTAGATGTAGATAATACAAAGCACCAATGTCTCATTTATAAAATGACATTTTGGATGATTTTATACTCTTGTTACTTGGTATCTGATAAATGGATGATTGTATTTAACAAGTCTCTAATGAAGTTATGTCAATCCTAAAATCTTTCAATAAAATGGGTAAATATATCTTTGTAATTTCCCTCCAACAATAAAAAAAATTAATATTATTTAAAATCATTAAAGTGACAAAAGAATAACAAATATTCAATTTAAAATAGAAATGTAACAATTTTTGTAAACATCCCAATTTTGGGACGATAGCATCTATTGTTAAGAATGAGGAAAAAAATTGGTTTGAATAAGATACTAGATTATAATACAAATTTGGATGTATATATTTTAGCTCCCTTTGAAAAGTATCAAAATGAAAAAAATTATTTTTTAAAGATATGAATATTAGTAATTTACCATTTAATAAACTGAAGTATCAAAAAATTAGAGAACTGTTACTACTTAATAGCTTGTAACTCCTTACATAATACTTTGAGGTGCTAGTCATTGCATAGTTACATTTATCCAAGCACTATATGTGCTGCATTCACAGCAGCAGTGTGTTTGCCTTTAGGCTAATTTTGAATTCAGAGTTTCTGTTTTTGACTGGTGGTTACTCTACCAAGGCTAAAGAGCCCATTCTACCTTATTATTTACCTTGCTTTGAATTTAGTCTTCTATCTCTTAGACTGGCTGAACTCAGCATGCTGATTCCACTTCCTGTGTTGAATAACAGATGTACATCCAATTGTGTGTGGCTGCAGAGATTTGATTATGGCCTACATGTTCCATACATGCTAAGAACATTACAGTCATAATCAGCTTCCACAGCTGCTGGCAGGCTGAATCCATAGCTTTGTGGAGTCTCCTCTACACACAAACTTAACTGTATGCTTGAAAGAGCTGGAAACATGACTTACCTGAGCCAGTGACATGGTATCAGTCTTCTTCAGTCCAGTACCAATGTTCTTTGGCCCATTAACTAATATCTAATGTCAAAAATGTTACTACTATTTTTTAATGATTGCAAAACACCATAGAATGCATTTTCTGTTGTACAGTGTGTTGACTGTTGGGTTGAGCAGCACCAGAATATACTTGGGATGGGATTTGATGCAATGTTGTTTCGGTTACCAACTTTGCCATTCATTCTTTCCTTGCATCATCCATGGCACTGATAGTTTTCAGGTCCGACTCATGGCTGACTGGAATTCCTGCCTGTTACCATCTCAGAGATAATGCTTAGTCTTTCTAGCCCCCAACAATAAATCCTGTCTGCATTTCATGACTGCCACAGCTACACTACCTCTTTACTATATGACACATATCTCATCTAACTTAATCTGTTTCTCCAATTGAGTGAGAGTGAAACTAGCCAGTTAATTGCTGTTTTTGGGGGGCACATCAATTTATATTATGTAAAATGCTCTCTTACCTTTTTTTATGAGTCCTCCTTTTTTTTTTTACAAATATTTTCAAATTTTATATTTCAAATGAGTTAGTCAGAATAGTCATTTGCTATATTTGAATCATCTGAGCTTTTTTTGAAAGGTGATTAGTGATAAATGAATTTGAAAATTTGTAGTTATGGCCTTTTTTGTCAGAAAATGTATTGCTCAAGCATATTTTTATATATATATATTTATTATTATTTTGGCTTGAAAAGAAATTGCATTTTTTTTTTTTTTTTTTTGAAGACAATTTTGGCCATGTTGGAACACTTCTGTTGTTTCCCCTACTTTTAATTAATGATGATTGTTAGCTTGAAAATTGTAATATTATAAATTATATAAACATACTTGTATGATTTTTTTTTTTTTTTTAAGGGCCTGACAAAGAATATCTTTTAAAATTAATATTTGATACCCCTCCTTTTGGTTTTTTTTTTTATTATATATATTTTAAGATATTCTGTAATTTGCAAAATTTTGTCTTCTGTCTTAATTTATTAAAAATCAAATATTTAAATTTTTTTTTTTTATTGATTTTGTTTTAGAACAGCCTTTTGTTTATTCTTCAAATATTTTTATTTATTTTTTAGACTTCACCAAAGCCATTCTCTCCACGAATGTCACAAGGTCCTCCACCATCTCACCAGGTAATCAAAACGGAGAAGCCTCAGATGGATGTGAACATGGGCCAAAGAGCCCCACTACCACCACCACCTCCACCTCCCGGAGGAAAAGACCGATTTGAAGGTCGCCAATCAAGGTGGGGCCCAGCAACTGATGTTACTGAACCTCCAGAGAAACGTGTGAAACCAGATCCTAGCAGTGCTCTGGACTTTATCAAACAAGAGTATAGTGGAGAAGGAGAAGAAAATTCTCCACAATGGCAGGACATTCATGTCAAACAGGAATCTCGATCTTATGATGGATATGGAGGACAATATAGCAGTAATGCATCTACTGGCAGCGCTAGTGGAAGCTATGGCACTCAACTAGCAAGTGGAACTTACGGGTATCAGACAAATTCTGGCGGATGGGGTAGCCGTGAGCAAAGCACTCCAGCATCTTACAGTGTCCAGAATCCCACCTATGGGACACAATCATACCAGAGCAGTTATTCAAGTGCAGACACTGAAGCCACATTACGGAGTGGTGCTAGCAGCAGCACTGCAAGTAGCAGCAATTGGTATGGAACAACTCCACCAGCTAATACGTCTGCTCCTCCACCCCCACCTCCCCCGCCTCCAATGAAACAAGAACCAGTTGGTTATAATGACCAGTACTCTTCATACAATCAATTACATCAAAGTCTGCCACCCCAAATGACAACTGCTACTCCTGCTCCAGATACCAAAGCATGGGGCATACAGTCACAATATGGTACCCAGCCATCTCAATACAGCTCACCTCCTTATACTGATCAGCAAGCCTATCAGAGCAGTGGTCAATCTTTTGATTATGGTCGGCAACAATATAACAGTTCTGCTACAGATTCTTATGGACAAACAGAACAAAGCTCTTACAGCTCGGCTGGTTTACAAGAACGAAGTGGATCAACGCAGCCTGCTGCCTACAGTGCTCAAAGCCAGTACAGCGGTTACCAACAAACTTCAAGTATCCCAAATCAGTATGGCTCTAACCAGTCAAGTCAATATGGTCACCAAAGCAGCTATGGTACTGATCAACAAAGCTCTTATTCTGATAACCAAGCATCTAACCAGATTAGTCAGTATGGTAGTAGCCAGCAAAGTTTCTACAGTGGTAGTAGCAGTAGCAACCAGTCAAGCCAATATAGCAGTAACCAGCCAGGCTCATATAACAGAAATCAAAGCCAATATGGTGCTGGCACTGGTGGTGGGGCAACTAACCAGTACAGCAGTGGAAATCAAGATTCCTATGGGAGCAGTCGTTATCCAGATCCTCAAAGTAATTATAGCAGCAGTCAAAGCAGTCAGTATGGAGGTGTCAGCAATCAATCAAACCAGCGTGGAAGTAGTGGTGGTAGTGGTCAGCAGCTCTATGGTGGCTACCAAAGCCAATATGGAGGCTATGACCAGTCAGGTGGACATGGAGGGCCAGACTCTAGTAATCGAAATGACCAGCAAAGCTACCAATCTCATCGTGGTGATAGTGGACTTTCATCTTCAGGTTCTTCGATGATGCAAAGTTCAAGCTACGGTCAAGGCCGTGGTGGTCAATGGCAGAGTAGCAACCGACAAAGATCAGATGGCTCAGGTGGATATGGCAGCAGCAGTGGATATTCTGATTATCAAGCCTCAAAGCCAAAAGATGAAGCCAAAAAGTCCTCTGGCCGTGGGGAAAATCAGCGAAGGACAAGGTGGAGTGATGCTGATCCAGCACCATCAGTTCAGCCAGCCCAGCCTCCTGAAAGTTTGGGTGGAAGAGACATGTCTTCAAGTATGCAAGGCAATTATCCAGACAGTGGTCAAGATAACTCTCATCAGCGCTCTGACCATATGGGCAGAATGGATCATATGGGTGGTGGTAGAATGGATCACATGGGAGGAAGACCAGATCACATGGGAGGTAGGCCTGAGCATATGGGTGGTAGACCTGATCATATGGGAGGTCGCTCAGATCACATGGGTGGGAGACCTGACCATATGAGTAACCGCCCTGACCATATGGGAGGTAGACCTGATCACATGGGAGGCAGACCTGATCACATGAGTGGACGGCCGGATCACATGGGAGGCAGGCCGGATCACATGGGAGGCAGGCCGGATCACATGGGAAGTCGGCAAGATCATATGGGAGGTCGACCAGATCACATGGGTGGGCGGCAGGATCACATGGGAAGCCGTTCAGATGGCCGTCCAGATCGTGGTGGCTATGGCCGTCCAGATCGTGGCGGCTATGGCCGTCCAGATCGTGGTGGTTATGGTAGGCCAGATCGTGATGGCTACGGGCGCTCTGATCGCAGAGAAGGACGTTCTGACAGAGATGGCCGCTCAGACCGTTCTGACAGAGATGGGCGACCAGACCGAGGTGACCGTTCAGATCGAGATCGCTCAGATCGTTCTGGTGATAGATCTGAACGTGATAGACCTGATCGTGGTGGTAGTGATAGAGATAGAGACAGCAGTCGAGGGGATCGTGGATCGGACAGATCTGACCGTGATAGCAGTAAACCAGATCGTAGTGGTGATCGTACTGAGCGGACGTCAGGTGACAAAAGTGATCGTAGCACCACTGCAGATAAACCCAGCCGCAGTAGTTCAGGAGACAAAGCAGATCGTAGTAGTAGTAGTAGTAGTAGCAGCAACAACAACAACAACAACAACAACACTAATTCTGGGGACAAGGCTGACCGTAGTGCTAGCAGCAGTTCTGGCGAAAAAGCAGAACGTAATACCACTTCATCCAGCACTGGGGAAAAAACAGAACGTAGTACAGAGAAAACAGATCGTAGCAGCAATACAAGCAGTGAAAAACCAGAGCGTTCTAGTGGAAATGATAAGCCTGAAAAGACTGAACGTGTGGAGAAACCAGATCGCAGCATAAATGAAGACACTGATCGCAGTGGTGACAAACCTGATAGAGATGTTCGCCGATCAGATCGTGGGCGTCCTGATAGAGATATGGATTCTGGTGATAATCGTCCTGAACAAATGGGAGGACGTTTTAATGCACCAGGTGGCCGAATGGATCATCCTGGCATGGGCCGACCGGACTTCTTTCCTGATGGGGACCGATGTATGGACATGGGCCCACCTGGCCAGTTTGGTGGTTTTGGAGGTCCTGGTGACATGAATCGAGACCATGGACCTCCAGGACGCTTTATGGGGCCTCGTGGTGGTATGAATCAGCCAAGAGGTCCACGTCCAAATTTTGATGGAGGTCACCCAGGTGGTCCACGGCCTCGTTTTGATGGACCCAGACGTGGTGGACCACGTGGTATGGCTCCACGAGATCATGGTGCAGATTTTGGTGGGCCAGGTGGCCCTGGAGGTCCAGGTGGTTGGAATCAAGGTAATATGCGAGGAATGGGACCTCGTCGTCCACCCAGATTTGAAGGCCGTGGAGGTGGGCCTCCTCGTGGGATGCGCCCAGGTGGGCCACCTCGTTGGCCACGTCCACATTAATGGAGAATGAGTCGAGCCAGTATCACAAAAGTCCCATTTCATAAAATCCTATTAATGCTCAGCTTCTCTTCAAGTAGCTGAATGATTTTCAACTGCCCACCTGTCTAACAAGGAATTGGGCACCATTTCCAGTGGTTTCTTTCTCATCACCAGTAGCTGTAAAACCTCCAAGCTTTCTCATTGTTCATTCTTTCCATTTAATTTTTCTCCGTTTTAGTGAAAAAAAATTTTTTCTGCTCACTATATTTGTATTTAACACTTAATTTCTTTTCTTTTTCTCTTTATTGTTTTTAATTTTCATTTTTCTCCACCAAACTGCTGGATCATAAATAAATATGAAGCTAAAAATATCTCCTGTCTTGCTTATTATTTTAGCTGATTATTATTTATGGCTGAATTAAAAAAAAAAAAAAAAATATTTTAATTGACTATGCATAATTTAAGCAAGCATATATTAAATCTGAAGGATTTTTGGTTTTAAAGATATTTCAGTTCAAAGTCTGAAAAAAATGTTTAAATAATTTCATAGCACCATTTTGTAACTTAGTATTTGCTTCCTCTATGAAAATTTCAGTTAACAGAACATCAATGAAAATTATTGTCAAATGATTGAAAGTAAATTTTGGGGGTATTATCATAAAATCATAATGAATTTTTGTCCTTTTTTTTTTGAATTGTTATGATAGGTACTTTGAGCAGCATGTCTGATTAATGTTTTTTTTTTTTTTTTCTTCTTTTTTTTCCTTACCTAGTTTTATAGAAATTTATCCTTTTACTAGTCCTTAAGATTGTAAAAAGAATTATCTTCTATATTGGTGTTGATGGCAAAACCTTCAATGTTTCAGCTCTTGATGCATAAGAGCTTTTATACATCTGGCAGCATGGCTGATTGGTTTGTCTGTTGGTGCTCTATTTTGGAATGAAAAAGAAAAAAAAGACAGCAAACAAAGCCAACAAAATGGAAGCCATCTATGTTTCAGTAATGACTTCCATTTCTACTTATCCTTTCTCATCCTATTCTTAGGCTGTCATTACTATTATGCTTCTGTATATTGAGAAATGAATCAGATGACCAATTTGAGTTTTTTTTTCTTTATCTAAACTACAGATAATACATCCAGCCATCCCATCATTACAACAATGACAGTATAATGCTAAGGAGCTTGTATTATATATTGCTCTAGCCTACATTTGTCCATAGTTTAGGACTAAAATGTGCATTATTTATCTTGTTGAATATTGTCCAGTTTCTCATTTATTTTGAATTCTTCGTTTTTATTTTGCTTTTTCTGAGTTGTAAAACAAATATCTCAAGCTTTGATAACTTTGCATTTGTAACATTTCTTTTTAATTGACTCATGATGTTTTTGGTCTTTCCATATATCAGTGGGACTATTAATGTCAGGCCATTTATGTATTGCCTTACAATATTAGTGCATGACTACCATTCTGCTTACATGTTTTTTTTTGTTTTTTTTAATATGAACTTTCATTTTTATTTTGAGGAAATTTAATGCCAATGATTCACATACTAAATCATAATGCAAGGGAGATGGTCATTAAATGACTATAAACTTTAAGAAAAGTATGATTGAAAGTTCAATTTTGTTTAAATTGTAACTTATTTTGAATAAATATTAAATTGATTTTTCCTGTTTGGTATTTTATTTCTTTTAGTGGATCATGTAAACTTGTTTCATAAGGGGGATTGAATGTTGGAATTGAGAGCAGAACCATCACTGAGCTGTGTCAGGGCATTTCTCTTGGTTATATAGGAGAAATAAACACAAAATGGATGGATTGACATAAATTATATGTCCTGATATTGTTGAAATATTACTGAATCCTGGAGATATTGATTCAAATTTAAGAGTATTTTGTGGTAAATTATAGATCTGTTTGATTTCAAGATATGAATTTTCTATAGGAAAGACATCACTCACTCGGATAATACTTATTGTTTCTCAGGCTAGTAATTATATCCAAAATAAATAACTGCTTGCCATTTTTTTCAGTCTTTTCAAACATCTTGCACAAGCTATCAGGAATATCAACATAAAAAAGACTGGGCTGCATGCACATAAGGAAATTGGGATAGAAATAAGATATAAACCAATATCTAATAACAGTTTAATCTAAAACTTGATAAAAAAAAAAGTGGGGTCTGCTAATTAATAATGGACATTATTGATAAGGTTCACAGTCAACCTGGAAAATGTAAATTGGTATTTTCTAATGCTGTGTGACATGTATTGAATGACATATGCTATTTTGATTGAAAATAAATGCTAAATATTTATGTTGTATATATTTGTCGTCTAGGATTAAAAATTTGAATAAAAATTTCTACTTTGAATCCTGAATAAAAAGACAATTTCATTGAGTAATATGGCATGACTAACACTTATTAATCACATGGAAAGTGAAAAGCTACTTCTACTAGTACACCACGGAAAGCATCTTTTTTTTTTTTCTTTTTTTTTTCACTCTCTCCAAATATGCTCATCAAAAACTATCTCCACATTTGACCTAGTTAAGACTAGTGCACTTATATTTGGAGTGTAGAGGTTACATTGTACATTATTAGAAAGTTTATTTTATACAATGTTTTTGTCCATTCATTGTCTTACTATATACTTTGTATCTGTTATGTGACTTTTCAAATTTGTGGAATTCTTCAGGCAATTTTACTTAACCCTGATTTAATGATGTTTTTAGTCTGTATTCCCATTGTTGTACTTAAATTATCTACTCTAGACCTGACTTAAAGGATCTATTCTAGACTTTACTTTTCTGTCCTAGTTGCATGATAAAAATATCTTTGTTTAAATTCTGGGGTTTTCAAATTGAGATTTTATTTAATAAGTATTCTTTTTCAGTGTTTTTGCCTCAGACAAGTTATCTTGCAAACAATGTATGTTTTCTTATAAGCACAGTAAAAAGTAAATTCAGGTAACATTACAAAATTGGGGGAACCAATGTTGGGGAGGAACTTGTATATAAAAGCACTATTCTTTTAATAGAAAATAAGGATATGTATGCATATTAAGGTCACAACTATATTGATATGTTTAACCTGAAGTTTCAGGTTAAAGAGTTTTCAAAAGGCTAATCATTTAAATATTGGAGAAGGTGCTGGAAATTTCTTACTGGCCCATATTCCCAATATTTATTTATTTATTTATTTATTATTTTTTGTATTGTCTTGTTTTAATGACCAAGATAAAGCTTATTTCATGGTCTGCGGGGAATTAATATTAAAAATGAGTGCTCTCCCTTAACTCATATTTCAAAATAAAACTAAATTCAAGACATAAGGTTACAATCTTAAATTTTAAAGTTTTTTTGTTTTTTTTTTGTTTTTTCTAAGTAAAGTTTGTTTTAAATTCATGTACTTTGATGAAATAATTTTTTCCACTTGACTAATTCTACCTTTTAATTGAGTTTTTTTTCAATAACTGATATTTTTGTGTTTGGTATGTATGCAAAAAAAAAAAAATGTGAACTTCCAAGTGTTGTAATGTTAAATGCTCTTGTGTAGCATTTTTCTTTTTGCTTGGAATACTTTTTCAGTTACCTTTATTTTTGCCATTTCACAACTGGTGATTATAAATATAACTGAGCATATACTTCTGCTTGTTAATTGATATTCATTTTCTACAATATGTTTTAATGTTGAAAATTAAGGGACTTTAAAAAATTCAACATTGACTTTAGTTTAAAATATCTTTATTTGCTAAGTAATAAACAATTTAAAGCAATTGCAAATTCTATGTCTTTAAAAATGTTAGTTTGAAGTTTCTTGAATTACTGAAAAATTGTTAAAAAATCCTTGAGAAACTTAAAAATGTCAGTGTACTGGCAATTTCAAATCTAAAATATTTATCCTAAATGTTTGGTTTTTATACTTTGACGGGGTGGGAGGTTGATTTCAGGGTGTGACATTTCTAGAGCTTTCTTTCTGATTCCTATTATTCTACTTTTTAAGCAGACTCTAAGGAGAATTGTTTATTGTATATTTTTTTCCAAGAAATTGTTTTATATTCTCATCTAATTTATTTCAGTTACATAAGGAATCAAAAGAAGGCTTCTAAAAGTCCATTTCAAGACATGATTTGTACAAGTTAGGGATTATGAAAACAACCATCACACATATTACTAGGTGCAAACTTTGTAGGGAAAAAAAATGATACCCATGTTGGAAGTATGGATAGTTCTACTGTAGATTCACACAGAAAGTCTGACTTGTTTATTGCTGAATTTTGTCAGCAGCCCTACTGACTACCCAGTTCGAGTTTGCTAACCTGTTGTTTGGGCCAGAAAAGAACATTGAGAAAACTAATTTTAAACTTGAAAAATTTACTTATTGGCCACAATAAACCTTTAATGGAATTTGATTTTATATTTTTGCCCAAATTAGTTTTTTTATTTTTATTTAACTATTGAGAAAGAAATCTGAATATCCAGATTGGCATCAGTCATTGAGAAAATGAATCCTTTAGATTGAAGAGATGTCTGGATTTACTTTTAGATTGCTATGCTTGTATGTTTCTTATTCTAACATTAGATGAAAATAAGGTATCTTTAATATTTGACCTGTCTTTTGCTTGCAATATTATTTCTTTTGATGCTCATTGAATAATATTGAGTTGTCTTGAATTGAGTGCTTTCATAATGAAAGCATAACTTTGTATTTTTGATAACAGATTTGTTTTTGTTTATTGCCAATGACTTAGTGTCTACTCAGGCCAAAAATGTCATTCGTTTTTCTAAATTGGCTCTCTTTTGAGATGATGGACACTTCTCAAATTATAATTTTACTCCAATATACTGTCAGATGCAATAGGCAATAAACTACAGAAGAACTCAAAATTGATCACTGCATTTAAGTATTGAATTAATGTTTAAACTTACCTTTTAAAAGTTCAATTGATAATTCTTCTGCTGACACTTAATTTAAAGACGATTTGATGTACGTAGATCCTTATTTTCCATACAAA